GCTTTAGAGTTGTTCAGCATTGTGCATGATTTGTCACTTTACAATTATTTTTTAAAATATTTTATATTCTGTAAAACTTCAAAATAAAAGCCCATGCCAATTCGAGGCCCAGTCCCTTTTACTGGCCTGGTGGTGCTGCACGTTTGACAAATAAAGACCGGTCTCAATTAGAGGCCTGATGTGCATTTAGTGTGGATTAGAAAGTGGATTAATTATGTGAATAAAAAGCAGCAAGACTCCCAATAAAACCTCGACATCTGTCCAGGAAAGACAGAATGATGCTCGTATGCGTACCAGCCGTGCAGCAGGTCGACGTCTTTAAAATCAAAAACAAAAGAGTGATTTTAAACGTAGTTTGTTTATTGATATCCTAACTTTGAGCTCACTTGTTATTCAATATTCTCACTGGTGTAAATTACAGGTTTCTAGTCTTTCCCATCTTTGCTGTGCAGTTTTCTTTCTTTTTAAAAGTTCAGCTCTTTGCCTGATCGCAGGTCTCGTGTCAGTGGTTTCCAAGTGTTTCCATCGTCACTTTAGAGCAGAATACTGTAGAGACCGTTTGCTCTCATTTGACATTTCCTTGTTGGTTTTTTAAAGGATATGAACAAAGGCTGTAACTGCACACTTCCCTCCTCTCTCTCACAGACCATCCTGACTGCCAGGAACATCGTGGTCGCCACGGGTGGACGGCCGAGATACCCCACAAATGTAAGTAACAACCCACCAGCAACCTCTGGTGGTGAAAGAAGAAGCTCATGCTTTAAGTGCAAAAATGCTGCAGTTCATAGAGTGTCCACTAGAGGCTGGCTGCAGAAGCACAGGAAGTCCGTTTTTACAGCAGAGATGAACATGTTTACAGCCTGGTTCAAAAAAACAAATAGGTGTGATTAGGTCATATCTGGATGGACACACACTGTACGGGGGGGTGAATGTTTTGATGACTCATCAGTTTTGATTTGATGAAGGATAAGAGTTATTCACAATAAGGCGTGTAGCTGACCTGATTGACAGGTGGGCACGATGTAACAGTTAGAGGTTTAAAACCCGCCTCAGCTCCAGCTCTCAGCCTGTTGTTAGGTTGACTGAAAGTTAGACTGAGACAGGATTTCCAACATGGAGACTGCTGCTGATGAGCCTTCAGAGCCCCCTGCAGGTACAGATGGGTGATGTCACTCAGGCTTCATCCATTAATATTAAAGGTCTATGATAACAATCCTACAATCATTCAAATGTGTTGTTTGGTTTGGTCGACTGGTTACTGGGTAGACTAACTGATGAGAAGAAGAAAAATATGCCCACCAAGGCCCCGTGTCCGCCTAGCGTTTTTTTTCTGAGCACAAGCATTTTTTCTTCAATTGTTTTCAATGAGGAGAGAGTGGCTGCGTGGAGAAAAAGCGCAGCACCCAGTGTCTTTTCTTCCGAGAGCTCAAGTTGAAAATCTTTCAACTTTTCAGAAAGGCGCTCTAGTTTTGTCGTCTACTGATCGTGTCTTGTACCCACATCCCCCTCGCTCCGTGTCTGATCAGGAAATAAACGATCTCATTAATATTAACGAATATAAAACAAGCAGTAAAAAGTTACGGAGCAGCTTCGGTCATACAGCGGCCGTCATCAACAGACTGTTGTCATGGAGACAGGACTGAAGTGCAGCACTTTTCTTCTCAGCGCACAAACGCTTCATGTAAACACTCCCGAGAGTACAGCCGGCGCTTTTCAGCCCAGAAAAAACTCTAGGTGGACACGGGGCCTAAAGAGAAAAACAGGAAAAAGCAGCTTTCAGAAATCAACACGTCTGCTACATTTGATGTATTGATCGTGGTTTGAAAGGTGAATAGTTCTGCCATCAGCTTTTTACTCTTCTCACAGATTCCTGGAGCAGTGGAGCACGGCCTCACCAGCGACGACATCTTCTGGCTGAAGAAGTCGCCCGGGAAAACGTAAGGCGAACCCCCCCTCCCCCACACCCACCAACACATATACACATTATAACAAAGTGAGGATGAACCTTTTAACCCTTGAACGCACCATTTCTGTTCATGAACCATTAAACCTCGAGCTACAAGCTGAGCAGAGAGCCTCTAACCTCTGCAGCATCAATGCCCTCGCTCTAACTCACCGCGTTAACCGTACATGCTGACACGACACGGCCCGCTGTCACGCACTGTCATCATTCATCGGTGACATGCGGTTTGTTTTTCTCCCTTCCTGTCAGCCTGTCTTCGCCTCATGATTCAGATTAGCGGCGTGCATCCTGACCTTTGCAGAACAAGGCCTTTAATCCCGCCTTTTAGCCGCTGTCATCGCCTGGTTAATTGGTCCTTACATGATGTTTCCTCTTGGCACGGCGTGCAGACGGTGACTAGTGGTTGTGGTGTACCTGGGCTCCGGTGTTGTTTGCTCCTCGCTGAAAGACGAGCGGAAATGATTGATCCGATATTTAAGCTTCATAATGAATCCAGAGAGTCTGCATCTGTGCCCGAGACTTTTTATGATGATAGTGTTTAACCTCGTTTGAATGAAAGGACGTTCTCGGGTGTTTTAAGAAGAATGCAACTTTAACTGTATATCACATCAGAAAGACATGTTACTAAACTCTCTTCAGAGGTTGAAGTCAGTGATAATGTGATAAAAATTTGGCTTAATGACTTTATTTAGAGACAGGACAGTGGATAGAGTCAGAAAACCAGGAAGAGAGAGAGAGGTGAATGACATGCGGGAAAGGAGCCACAGGTTAGAGTCCAACACGGGTCATCTACTCCACATGGGGCATGCGCTAGCCTTTAGGCTACCGGCCCCCCTTAACCGTGATGTTTAATTAATAAAATGGTAAATGGACTTGAGCTTGTACCCATTCACCAGTGTTTCCCCTTCCATTATATTAGGGGGGTGGCCCACCTCCCCCTTGAAGGTCAAGGCGGCGTCCCTTTTTTTGGGGGGGATTTATTTTTTGGCTTTTTGTGTCTTTATTGTAGAAATAGGATAGTGGATAGAGTCGGAAATCAGGGAAAGAAGTCATTTAAGGATACCTTTCCGATAGAAAAGGACAGCTGTCATTAAAAGTAACCCATGAACACCAACATTCCTTCAATTGTTGTCGCCGTCCATCTGTCCCCCCCCCCCCCCCAAAAAAAAAAGAAGCTGTAAACCTAGGGGAAACACTGTTCACACACTGATGGTAGAGGCTGCTATGTAAAGGGACCATCAGATATAAGTAATCCCATTAATACACCGCCGACGAATCAGCGGGAGCAACTCTTGGTTAAGTGTCTTGCCCAATCGAACACATCGGACATGTGGCTGCAGGAGCTGGAGATCAAACCCCTGACCTTCCTGTTTAGGGACAACCAACAACCTCTTTTGCACCAAAATAAGAGCCTTCATCTTCTGTCTGTTGGCATGGACTCCTTGACTTTTAGAAAAAATGGCTACTGATAACCACAGCAGAACTCTGAATGTACAGAGAGACAATGAGAGGAGGGGAGTCTGTACGTCCATAATTAAAATTCTCACATACACATTAGTATCAGTTGGTGTGTATGTGCCGTTATTTGTATGCTTTTCAGATTTTGTGACCACTTGGTGGTAATCTTTAACAGTCAACAAATCAACATGGATGCCTCGGTCAGTAAACAGCTACCACTCTGTCAACAACATGTCTCTGTATATAAAGTAGAATTATCGCTAAGAGGCGCCACTTGAGCGCAGGAAGTCCTTTGACGTAGCGGGCGGCGGTTAGTGGGGTCCTCTTCGTCCCTGTAGGCGGCTAGTCGAGGGTAACCATTAGCTTTAGCGTCCTCTGTGGGAGCATTGAACCTCACACTGCAGACGGAGCTGAAGTTGTTGTTGTGCTGCTGAGCTGTCAGCTGTGCAGGGGAGGTCCAAGAAGCTGATTTTTAACCGTGTGTGTGGGGAGGGGGGGCATTCAGGTGAGTGATGGGTGTCTAATGGTGCACACACACACACACACACACACACACACACACCTGAGTGACAGATTCAGCCTCAGGGCCATATCCCAGAGCCGGCTGCACATCGTCGTGCTATCAGGAGAAAGCAGTGAGCGCGTGCCAGGGGGACCGTGCTACGGGTCCAGGGATAGGCCGGTACTTGAATAAGGGGGTCTGTGTGTTGTGTTGTATAACGGAAGAGGACCACACTTCTGGGGGATGTCTTTCAGCAGTTTGTTGAAAAAGCAGCACAGATGGTTCCAGCATAGCTTCCCAGAATTTATAGAGAAACAAAACATGCACAGAATCTGTTTTGCTCACGTGGACTCTGTGACCGCAGAAAAATACATTATTTAAAGGTCACACATTTCCCTCCTCTTCAACCAGTTTAAATAAGTCTCAGAGCTCCTCAAAACATGTGTGTGAAGTGTCTTGTTCTAAATCCACTCTGATCCTGTATTTGATCATGTCTATAAACCCCTCTATTTCAGCCCTGCTCAGAACAGGCTGTTTCTGTGTCTGTACCTTTAAATATGTAAATGAGCTGTGTCTGACCACGCCCCCTCTCTGGAAGGGCTTGGGTGTACTCGGTCTTTCTCGCTCCATGACCTATTGTTTACTGTGAGAAGGCAGACCCAGAGGGCAGAACAAACACCTAGCTGTGGGAGTGTCACCAACCTGGGGAAGGGGCTACTGCCCTTTGTGATGTCATGAAGGGAAAATCTCCAAACAGCCTGTTTGAGCACACATTTTCTGAAAAGTGGAGCAGGCAGAAGACGGAGAGGATGGACTTTTCTCATCATTGGGGGGTTTGTAGACGGACTACAGACACATATTAGTGTTAGAGAAACATGGTGAAGTGGATTTTGCAGAATATGTGACCGTTAAGGTGCATTTGAATTCAACATTATTACATTTTAATAATAATAATTAAATCTGTATTTGTCATGTGAACGTTGACATTGTGCAGCTAGAATAAAAAGAGGAAGTAAAGCTACTAAAACACTGGAAGCTTTTTTGAATAACACAGTCAGTGATCCTTTTAGAAACATAAAGGGTTGTTAGTTCTTCATGAAAACATCACTCTGTCATCAACACATAATAACCACACTTTTGAAAACTGAGAATAAGTAACAAGTGTGACACAGAAAGTTCATGATCCGAATATTTTAGTCATTCCAGTTGAGAAACTGCTGCTGTGTTCAAATACAGTTTGTATTTATCGATGAGAGGTCAACGCAAAATCAAATACATCCTTTCTTCTTATCCAGAGGTTATTGTCAAAGCCTTCGCCAATCTGACAAACATCAACTAAACATTACTTTATAAAAATGTAATAGATTTTTTTTGTTTTGTTTTTTAAGGTTTATGTTTTGGGCTTTTAGTGCCTTTATTGTAGAGACAGGACATTGGATTGATTCGCAATTTGTGGCTTTGGGAAGGCTACAAAGTCTAAATCAGAAATATCCAAACTTTTACTACAACCTCTCCCAAAATAACGATGCGCGAGACTGGGGACCCCCTCTGACCATGGAAGGGGTTAAAGCATTTAATATTATTCACAGCAGCACACACTAATAAGCTAATCCAAACACTGACATAAGAACAACACTAAAGAATAGAGCAGACTCTTCGAATAAATTAACAAAATAAAACAAAGAGCACAACATATACCTGCATTTTTACAGTCATGTGCAAACTCAAAGTTTTCACTTTAATTTCCGCACAAATCTCACTCAAGCACTATTTCACAATCATCAGTAAAATATGAAATTTTAAGTCATTTCAAATTAGTATTTGTTTTTGGAAGGCATCTCTCGACCCCCCCTCCCAGTGTCTCGCGACCCCCACTTTGGGACCCACTGGTCTAAATCACTGACTGCACTGTTTGGTTGATGTTAGTGTGAGCTCACTAAAATGCCTTCAGAAGCAACATTTCATAGAAACATGTAACATGGACTCACACCGAGCCTTTGTAACAAACCCACCCACGTTCTTCTAAACAGATAAAGTATCAGATCTCAAGGTTGACACGATGTCGCAGACAGTCGATGAAAACATCCTCCCTCTGCAGGAGCTGCAGCCTTGACTTCAGCTCCTCAACACATTTTTATCACCCTGAAAAGTTTCATTAAGTGTCTGATAGTCGACTCCACGTCGAATGGGAGTACAGAGTTTCATGAGACAGAAACAGAACATCAGGACTATCCAATTTAAAAGTTTGACTGTTTCATGCCTTTGATATATTCCTCTTAATCACGTTTGGAGGTTTTTTTTTTAATGAAAATATTTAAGCAGTTTTTCCCACTTAAATATGAACATGCAAACCTAATTAGAGATGTGTTGGTAAAAGATGACACAAGGCGGGAGTGCTCTAGTTTGAAAACAAGCATGAAAAGGATCTAAAGGCAACATCTGCTGCATGACAAACGTAGCACAGACACCAGACAAGTGTATATTTTGAATGAGGAAGAGGTCGAGGGGGGGAAAGTAGACGACGTCTCAGTGATGAAAGTGAAGAATCAAGCTGAAGCTCTTTGCCTAATCTTCTCTAAGCCACTTCACAATACGTGCTAAATGCAGACATGGAGAAAATGGTCACTGGGGGCTTTTAGTGGTTACAGTCAGTATGGACGTGCAGGATGTCCCGCCCGAGCTGTCAGGTGGAACAGACGAGCGGGATGGAGGTCTGACCCTGAGTGTGTGTGAGGGTGACGGGGATCACTCAGCTGGCTAATGTGTGGGCTGTAGCCCTGAACATGGCACACCCCATCTGCAGGGATTAGACTAAACGCTGGCAATTACATCTCCTCAACAACGCGATGTGAGCTGCATAAGACTTGTGATTCACCTGGACCACACACACACACACACTCTGTCAGTGTCCCCGTTTCCTACATTTTCCTCACACCTCGGTCTGAGATTATGACGTTTTGTAATTCATCACCTCTCCACTTCTAGGATTCAAAGTAAACATTTTCATCTTGCTTTGTTTGGGTTTGGACACAGTGTGCTTCTCAAATGATGAGATGTATTTTTGCGGGTGTTATCAGTCGGATTTAAGGGCTTTTTCTTTGTTTGTGTTTTGCAGACTTGTGGTTGGAGCCAGCTGTATCCTTTTGTCTGCCAGTGAGCTTGTAATTGGAGCCCCTGCATAAATCCAGTAGTAACCAGTATAAAGTTATCAGCTCGTATTTTCTGCTGCTCTGTGTGTTTTGGGGTCTTTGTGTTTTATTTGTTTTGGCCACACATCAGATGCTTCTTGTGCTGTGCTATAATCCTGAACCTGGTGCTGCCTCAGATGTGGCTCTGGAGTGTGCAGGTTTCCTCACCGGCGTCGGCATGGATACCACAGTGATGGTTCGCAGCATCGCCCTCCGGGGGTTTGACCAGGTATTACTCCCTGAATTTAAAGAGTCTGCTCATTGTGATCATGTGTTTTTTTTTTTGTCTTCTTTGAAAAGCTGCTATTCATTCTCTGTTCATGCAGCAAATGGCAGGCCTGGTGACGGACTACATGGAGGCATATGGGACAAAGTTTGCGTGGAGGAGTGTCCCGAAGAGAGTGGACAAACTGTCCTCAGGAGCCCTGCAGGTGACCTGGGTGGATTCCCTCACAGGCAACGAGCAGAAGGACACCTTCGACTCAGTGTTATGGGCCGTCGGTGAGTGTGTTCCCGTTCCTGAGTGCAAACATTGAAGTCATATGTTTAAGTAGATCTCTCAGGTTTAAACTTCATCCCTGATGTGGTCGAGGCTCTTTGTGCTGCAAATGAGCATCCTTTGAGCTCCTGGGGGAGATTTAGCTGATCATAAAACAAACTGACTCCTATGTATCTCCTAAATCAAGAAAGATAACAGACCATCAGCAACAACATTCTAATCCATGATTACTTCCACCTCCAGGCTGGTGTAGGCCGAAGTGACCTTTTGTTAACTTTCCATAGTGGATGACACCATAAAGAGACACCTGGATGATTTTTTTTCTTTTGAGAGTACAAATTAATTCACAAGACAAGGTCCCAAAAAGGTCAGACGGGCCGCTTTGTCCTCAGGGGTTTCTAAGATTGACACAAAATTAAGTTCCTCACAGGAGCTTTAAGAGGAAGAGACTTGAATGCTTTAGACTCACTAAAAAAGACATGAAAACATTTCAGACACAAGTCAGAAAAAGGAGGCCCGAAGACCTGACCACTTCTCTACTGCTGCAGCCTTGACTTGCGTCTTGATTTAAAGGTCCAATCAGTGAGATGTGTAGTGACTGAAACGATGAAGTGATCTTACTATATGATCATTAAGGAAACATGCTATGTGTGCCATGCTATCAGTGCTGGCTTCTCTGACAACAATGCAGCAGCCAGTATGTCCTCCTTCTAACTTTAGATTCTGCTCCTGAATGCTCTGGATTTGTTTGGACCAGAGAAGGTAGGAGGTTTTAAGACACCCCCCACACGGCCGTTTTGGACGCCCCTCTGTTTGTCAGATATGAGAGCAGTTATCAGGTCAACAGGTGTTGCAGCGATGGAAGCGGGTCAAGAGAAGTGGTTGAGATAGAAGTGATTGTACCCGACCTAAAAAGCCTCTGCATGTTTCTAATAAGCTCCACGAGCAGAAACGTGCTCAAACTAGGATCAATATTGGAGATGCTTTTGAAAAATGGAGAGAGGTTAGAACACAGAAAGGTTTACAGACCCATGCAGAGCTGGATAAACACTGAAGCTTCAGTGTCCACCACATGGTGAGCTGCATGAGCATGGACTCTAGAGAGGAGGGGGGGGGGAGACGGTGAGGAAGAAAAACAGATCAAATCTTACCAAGAGAATCCCCTCCATATCTGTGAATTTGTGGATGTTTAATGAGTTTACCGCAGATCATGCCAGTCATCGATGTAGGAAATAGTGCAGATAATTCTGATTTTGAGTCCTTTGTAAATCTAATAATGAGATTAAACATTTTGCTTCGTTGATGGGATCTCTTTTGATGTCTTTGTTATAGTTATCGCTCAGTTGTCCACACAACTTTAAATTATGAACCCAGCTACGACAACAACAACACTTCTTTTTCTTTATTTTTTGGGCTTTTTGTGCATTTTTAGAGATAGGACAGTGGCGGCCCCACAACATCACGTCTGACACAGGTGTTTCTTATTGATTAAGTAAGTCAGTAAAGTTTATTTGTATAGCACCTCTCACAGATACACATCACAACATCCTTCACATTAAAACAAGAACACAAGGAAACAGCATAAAGTGAAACGTCTGGGGTTCACTGAATAGTGAATTTATTTTACTTATTTTCTATTTTAAATCTTTTCTGACACCTCCATGTGCCCCTGAAATAAACACAAGTTTGACTTTTTTTCCATGCCGCCTCCACTTTCATTGTCATGCTGAATAGAGTGCAGTGTCAGCAGATTGCAGAGGAATCAAGGCTGAAAACAAAGTAATAAAGCCCGAGTGATGGGAACGGCCAGTGGGAAGTGTTAATCACCCGCCTCTGGCTCTCTGACTGTACAGAGGGACAGGATGTGACAGGATGCACCCAGGCACAGGGTCACCACATTCCCCTCTTTGTTCTCCCTCTCTGGGCCTTCCTGCTCATGCCAGCCCTGCGGAAACCAACCCTGCATCTGTCACTGCCAACCCGGCGGCCCTCTGCGTGCTATTACCAGTAGCCCTCCTGCTCCTCTTTCTCGTTCACTCATCCTCGATATTATACCATTTCACTTCTTCTTAGCAGTGAGTATGGAGGTGAACTCCATCAGGGTGTCTGCCTTTTGTTTAATTCGTGTCCAGTGGTTTCAAAGACAGAACGGTGCTTCTGAAAACCTGCCTACCAGGCATTCCCAGGTCCGACCCAGCCAGATTGTCAGCTGTTGTTCCATCGTTGGGGGGGGATGGGGGGCTAGTGTGTCCTCTCTGCGTGCGACAGCGATGAGGATGCGTGTGACCCTGCTGCTGAGATGACGTTTGTTTTTCCCACCTGTGGTTCAATTCCCACATCATCCCGGCGTGGGACTGTTGTTGGTGACTGTGATATTTGCATTGAGTGCAAGTTTCAGATCCTCAGCTCCTGCAGCAACATGTCCAATGTATCCTTGGGCATTTGTATGAATGGATGAGTTAATACTGATGGACTCTTTACTCAGCAGCCTCTACCATCAGTGTGTGAATGTGTATGAATGGATGAGTTAATATTGATGGACTCTTTACTCAGCAGCCTCTACCATCAGTGTGTGAATGTGTATGAATGGATGAGTTAATACTGATGGACTCTTTACTCAGCAGCCTCTACCATCAGTGTGTGAATGTGTATGAATGGATGAGTTAATACTGATGGACTCTTTACTCAGCAGCCTCTACCATCAGTGTGTGAATGTGTAGGTGTGACATACAATGTAAAAGCTCTTTGAGTAGTCAGAAGAGAAATATACAAGCTCAAGTCCATTTACCATTTACTGTAGCTGGCTCTATGCTGAACTCATGGGCCAGTTTAACGTTTAGTTTAGCAAGGTATGTTTACTTAATCAAAATACACTATGTTTGTTATTAGAGGGAAAATTAACTACAATACCACTCTCTACAGGGGTTAGGGTTGTGGGTCAGTTGGTACAGTCGGTCGTCTCTCAACCGGAAGGTCAAGGGTTTGATCCCCAGCTCCTGCAGCCACATGTCCGATGTGTCCTTGGGTAAGACACTTAAGACACCTATTTAGATTGACGTTTCAAGAAGTCATATTTACATCCCTGTGAATGTTGTGGAGATGTAATGGTGGGGCAATGTGATTCCCCCCCTCCCCCTCTGTACCGTCTTCAGAGGTAGTAACAGAGGCGTTACAGAGGCGCCAAAATTCTATGTGAATTCACAGACTGGGACAAGATAATTACTTTGTCACAGAATCAATTTAAATGTACAAAGACATGATGACCGCTGAGATTAGTTTCAGCACTTTTGCAGAATCGCAGTCTGAAAAGGGCTAATGACCGATTTCTAATTTAAGGGTCTGAGCTGTCCTCCATCTCCTGCTGCTGATACACTTACTAATGACAAGTTTCTCATGCATCCCCATTAAAAAAACAACAACAGAGAATCCCGAGTCTGCATATTAGTCGTGTTTCCTGATGCTGTGTAACACAAGCAGCAATATTTTCATGTTGAAGCTACTGGCTTAAACCTTCGTCAGACCGAGCTACATCCCTGACATCTTTTGTTCCCATAGAGTTCAGTGAGAACCAGTCACAGCTCGGCCTCTGCTCTTTGATGTGTGCGTGCAGGAGTTATGAGTACAAGGCCACTTCCCTTTACCGTGACCTTACACTAGGGGCCAGGCGGGGTACCGGCCCCAGTGGAGTTATTAAAGGCCAGAGGGGACCGGGGGACAGTATCACCGCCGTCTGCCACATCCTCCTCCACGGCCCGGCCTGCCTCCACCTTTCCCCTGCTCTTTCCTGGCCTCACACAGCCGCTCCCCTGTGCAGGTGTACTCGCAGAACAAACCAGGAAACAGAACATTTCCACACTTCCTGTCTGCATGTAGACAGTGGGAACATTAGTCTTCCTCCTCACTCACTCTTCCATCCTTGAGGATGTTTTTTTATATTTTATTATCCATTTTTTAAGAACATTTGCCTGTCTGGGTTTTTATAAGTTCCTGATGACATCCCTGATCGTTGCTCTTGGTGTGTGGACGTCTAGCTTGTGGTGGGGCTCAAAGTGACCAAAGATATTCACTGTTATGACATTAGTGGAGTCGTTTCTGGGGCAAGAACATGTACAGTATGCTGAGAGTCACTGAATTTACTAGCTTGAAAATGTGGTTAATTTAGATTGCTTTCTCAAAAGAAGCCCGGTGTACTTAGTGCGATTCAGGGGTGAAATTTCAACATTGTTGCGTTTTTCTTTTGATTCAGTTTGCTTTCAGACTGAACTTAAGCCTCTCAAATTTGTGACCACAGCCACTCGTCACTAGTTGGGCTGTAGCTCCGGTCAGTGGCTAGCCTGATGCTGCACTATGAACGTTCGAGAAAACAACAGGACAGTGGAGGAATGGTATCCTGTAGTGCACAGTTTGTCAGTATTTAGATCTCTAAAATGAAGATGAACTCCAGGACTAACCGGGCCTGCTTGTGCTCGTGCTTGAGCAACTGTAACATGCAGAAGCACACCTCTTGCGCACCAAGCGTGCCAGGACCAATGAAGTGTACCGTGCTTGACCACGGGTCGGAGCACTCACACCAGTTAAACAAACTGGATTTTGGGCACGGTACAGCTTGCTTAGTGTGAGTGTGCCCTTAATCACTGGTGAGCTTGGGAATCTTTTTTCTTTTGCCTGAAGCAGAACACGTAATCATTCTCGTCGTCCTGCATGATCTCCCCCCCAAAAGAAAACACTTTTCTTTGTCTTTTCATTTGATTGATCTGATAAAGTCCAGCTCTCATTTCCAATGGAGGAGGATTGTTGTGGCTAATTAGCCTACTAGCAGTCTTGAAGCTTCCTCTTAATGTCACAACAGGCTTTGTTCAGATTGGCCTCTATATTTGTGTGGTGTGTGTGTGTGTGTGTGTGTGTGGTGTGTGTTGTGTGTGTGTGTGTGTGTGTGTGTGTGTGTGTGTGTGTGTGTGTGTGTGTGTGTGTGTGTGTGTGTGTGTGTGTGTAACCCCTTATCAGTCCTGACTGTTGTTGTGTCCTGCGGTACAATGGCGCCCTGCTCATTGAACAGTGACTGGAGCTGCAGACAGGAAGTCCATAAATGAAAAGGAAAAGTCTTTACTTACACGTCAGATTTGACTGATGAGCCTTTTTTAGGTCCATGCTGACATCTTTGTTGTAATTGATGCTAAATTTGAATACTTTTAAAACAGAAAGTATGACATACAACGTCATGTTTTAGCTGCAGAAATTTACCACTGTCGAATAAAAGCTTCAACAAGATAATGTGAGAGATTTGAGAAAACACAAGTTATATATGAGTATGAACATAACAGGTCACTGTGTTTTAACACTTGTCATGAAATCACATCGTCATCAGAAATGAAACCCATATTACATGAAGATATTTTTGATCGTTTTTTAAACATAGTTTCTTTTGTACCTATTTATATTTGCCCCTTTTATTTTTATGTAAATACTTGCTGTTGTTTTTATCCTGCACTATGATGAGCCAACTGCAAATAAATGTAGTTCTTATCCGCACTGTAAGGTACAATTTGAATGACAATAAAGAAAGTCTAAGTCATGTTGTCACGGTAACTGGCTGCTGCAAATAACGTTTAACGTACTATAGAACGTTTCTATAGTAGGAACGAATTATACGAAAACAGCAAAAGCGCTTCTGTTTGGATGTGTTTTGATTGATTCCATTGGAAGCAGCTGAATGTTTGGCAGCACTTTGAGTCCAAGACAAGTTTCTCCAGGGGGACAAAAACTGTATCATGTATTTTATCTTATCGTATCAAAGGGACTATTAGGTGGTCATTCAAACTGATGAGTTATTTAAAGATTCCCCCTGTTACAGTGTGTGTCCTAAAGGCCCCGTCAGATAGGACGCGGTGGGCGCTGCACGCTGCTGTCACTTCCTTTCATTGTCTATTGTATTGCTCCGCACAAGAGCGTATCTCCTTGATGCCGACTTGAGCGCAGTGCATGGTCGCGCTTGCCTTTCTTGCTCGCTGCACAGAAGTTAAAACATTTTCTACTTGAGGGTAGCTCAGATCCCAACAAACGATGTCTCACTTTCCCGAGCTCTAGTTTAAAGACCTACCGGGACGTCGGCAAGAAAGATCTTGTTTTTAAAGATATTTCCAACAGTTTGGGCATACCAGGTGTGTTTAAAACAGCAGCATTAATTTGTGTCGTGTTTGTGAAGCGGTTGTTTTAGCGCTGCAGCTCCTGGACACTAAACTCTCCAACATCCTGACGGCTCTGATGATTTCAACACACACCCTCTTTTTCTTTGCTGCTCGTCTCCCCCTCTGCAGCAGAAGAAATGTTTTCAATGTTGTGTGTATGTGACTTCCTGTACTTCTACAGCCAACCTCTAGTGGACACTCAAAGAACTGCAGGATTTTGCACTTCCGCATCGGCTTCATTCGTTGATGTTGCAGCTTGGTCTTATCATGACATGACAAATTGAGTGTTATAGCTCTTTATGGTAGTTAGGGTTGCAAAATCCCAGGAATTATTCAAAGTTGAAAACTTTCCATGGGAATAAACTGGGAATTTACAGGTTTATAGGTTGGCCCCTAACAGGGAACTTGAACTTGGTTGGAGAAAATATATTATAGCATAATCTTGACTAAAACAGACCAGATTTCATGTAAGTACACTTGAATATCTCTACTATTTCTCAATCACATACACTGCTTACTGCAGGGCTATTGAGGCCACGCCCCCTACATGCACTGTGCATTTCACCACACTTTGAGTACAGAGCACAAGACTATAAAGTCACACATGATATTATAGGGTAATGTATTTTAAATGATGTATGGTATTTATGTTTAACTTGCAAATATCACATAAAAATGCATTCATACAGTAATTAGCTAGCTGGTAAATTAGATGCTAAATAAGCTATAGCTAGCATCACTTCATTTACCATTTATGAGGCTATCTATGACATAACAAAATGTTTATATTTATGCTTGGATATGATACATTTCGATTAAATTACCCTCAATTTCCAGTTAATTCCCATTCATTCCCATAATTTTGGATTTGGAATATTTCCAAAATTCCCCAGTTTAACATCCCATGGAAAGTTCCTGGAAATTCACCGGAAATTTTCCACCCCTTTGCAACCCTAATGGCAGTATGAGGATGTATTTTTGCCAGTTCTATTGGCAAAGCTGAGATGAATTTGGTAAAAAATACTTCCCTTAAAATGCCAAAATCTAAGAAGCTAAATTCCACGACAAAATAGTAATATGGCCAAATAGCGAACGACTTTTCCAGTGTTTTGTACGTTCAGAACAAGAACATATTTGGCAAGTTAAGGTGACTGCTTAACTTTCCGTCTCTGCTGTTTGTGTGCTCTCCATCGTCTTTAACCACCCATGCTGTGAGCAGGGGACCGGTCCCTGCAGCCCCCCCTGGTCTGAGAGGAGGGAGGGGGGTATGTTCTTTGGCTCCGGCTAGGAAAAAGGATCTCAGGGGTTTGTTATTTTTGCTGTCCGATAGCATCTACACGGGTAGCTCAGGGCTCGGTGTTTATTATGCTACCCAGCCGGGTTGTGAGGAGCAGTGGGGGGGGGGGGTGAGGGGGGAGGGGTGGAGTGGTCCATGGCCCATCACCATAGAGACTCAGCGTCGACAGCATCAGTCAACCGTCCCCCAGGAAGTGTCAGAAATCACACCTTTGGGTGTCCTGGGGGTTGATGGGAAACTGATTCCCTGTTGCTCATCAGTTTCTTCTCTCTTTCTCTCTCTCTCATAGCTGACCAGATGTTGTTAATTACCTAATGTTAGCATGCTAACAGGCTATCTGAGGTAACTTTATTCCTGCAAAACATTAATCGGCATTCTTCTGCTAATGTTGGATTCGTAACACCAAACACGTTGCTTAGCATTAGCATGTTTGATTGTCCCTGTGATGGCAGATAGCAGGATTACATTAGCATTGAGCTCTACTGTACTCAAGTACATTTTCAATGAGCTGCTGACGTGGCTGTAGCGTCGACATTGTTTTATGAATGAAAAACAATCAGAGTTAATTGATATTTGCAATGAAATTAGCCGATACCGATAGTCATTGGATATGCTAATATCAGCTGATATTATCGGCTGGCCATCTCGGTCATGCTCTCTTCATAAGAGTTCTAATCAGCTTCAAAACCATCCTTAATATAGTCATCATCATTATTTAAATCATCACATCACTTCTAAATGTTGTACAGAGAGTCTCTGCCTCTCTCCCTCTCTCTCCTCTCTCCCTCTCCCTCTCTCTCCTCTCTCTATCTCTCCCTCTCTCTCCCTCTCTCTCTCCCTCTCTCTCTCTCTCCCTCTCTCTCTCTCTCTCCCTCTCTCTCTCCCTCTCTCTCTCTCTCTCTGTCTCTCTCTCTCTCCCCTCTCCCTCTCTCTCTCCCTCCCTCTCTCCTCTCTCTCTCCCTCTCTCTCTCTCTCTCTGTCTCTCTCTCTCTCTCCCTCCTCTCTCTCCTCTCTCTCTCCCCTCTCCCTCTCTCTCTCCCTCCCTCTCTCTCCTCTCTCTCTCCCTCTCTCTCTGTCTCTCTCTCCTCTCTCCTCTCTCTCCTCTCTCTCTCCTCTCTCTCTCCCTCCTCCCTCTCTCTCCTCTCTCTCTGTCTCTCTCTCCCTCTCTCTCCTCTCTCTCTGTCTCTCTCTCTGTCTCCCTCTCCCTCTCTCTCTGTCTCTCTCTCCCTCTCTCTCCCTCTCTCCCTCTTTCTCTCTCTCTCTCTCTCTCTCTCTCTCTCCCCTCTCTCCTCTCCCTCTCTCTCTCTCTCTCCTCTCTCCCTCTCTCTCTCCTCTCTCTCTCTCTCTCTCTGTCTCTCTCTCTCTCTCTCTCTCTCTGTCTCTCTCTCTCTCTCCCTCTCTCTCTCTCTCTCTTCCTCTCTCTTGCTCTCTCCCACACCTCTGCCTCTCCTGCTCTGTAATGTAATATTCTCCTTGTGTTGTTTTCCTTTCCTTTGACCTCAGGCAGAGCCCCTGAAACCAAAGCCCTCGGCCTGGACAAGCTCGGCGTGCAACTCAACAAGCAGACGGGGAAAATAGTCGTGGGCGCCGACGAATCCTCCTCAGTGCCAAATATTTACGCTTTCGGTGACATCGGAGAGGTAGGCATGGTGAACAGACACAAACCTCACATGGATGATAAAGATAACCAAGTTAGAGATGGAAAACATGATGTCATAGTTCTGATTTAGACAGAAACCTGGATATTCAGATCCCTGTGCACATGATAAATACTAGAATCCTGCTTTCTGTGTTTATTTTAAAAACACAAACCGCAGCAATTTAGAAATCTGAGAAAAATGAGACTTCTGTGGATTATTGTGGGTTTAGCAGTAATAGACGGCAACATGGAGCTGCAGATGTGGCGTATCCACCTCATCAAAAATATGAAACATTTCCCGATCTCTGACTGGTGTCAGCTTGTCGCTGCCAGGCGCTCCAGAAATAAGTTGCTCATGTTGCTGCCACCGTGTTTGTTTTTCTACTACATCACTTGGCTGAGGCAGCGTCTGCACAGGTAGTCAGCAGCTGTCATGTGAGGTGTTTCTCAATGTTTACATGCACATACAAAATAACAGGATCCAAACCAGGAAACTGAGGTTCATGTAAACTTAATGTTACACTTCCTTTAACTATTTTTACCAGTTTAACTTCCATCTTTTTGCTATCACTAAGATTAGAAGTATTTATAGTGGCCTGCACTGTGCACTGTGCACGGTTAGCGCTGTTTCCTCACAGTGAGGAGGTTCCTGGTTTGAATCCCTGTCTAACAGGAGCCTCTCTATGTTCTCCTTGTGCATGTGTGGGTTCTCTCCGGGTACTCCGTCTTCCTCCCACAGTCCAAAGACATGCTGGTGACTCTTAATGTGAGTGTGTCTGGTTGTCTGTCTCTATATGTCAGCCCTGTGATTGACTCTAGGTAAGAACATAAAATGCTTAGTTGACATGTTGATGTCTTCACTGTCGGGTTCCCGGCTCATTTTCCTTCTAAATGTTTCTTTTTTTCTATATGCAGGAAAGTTATGACATCATAACCTGCCTCTTTGTCTCAAAATGAAGTTTGCACATTTTATAAAGGTTGCAAAATATAATGAATAATACTTTATTTGTAGAGCACTTTTCAAGACTGATGCACAGAGAACTTTCTCTGCGTACACAGAAACTTCAGTTACATACAGTTAAAACAGATCCTCCTTAATTGCTGATAGCCGAGCGGTTATGATACGCTCCCCTTGTATGGAGGTGATAGTCCTAGGCGCTGCAGCCGTGCGTTTGAATCCAATCTCTGCCCTTTGCTGCATGTCTTCCCCCCACTCGTTCCTCCCAGCATGTCATGTCTCTCGTCAGCTGTACTATCCAATAAAAGCAACAAAAAATATCTTAAAAAACAAACAAACATTAAAAGAACCAAAGACAGATGAAGGTAAAAACAATAAAAACTGGATACATGAGCAGAAATGGAGTCAGCTGAGGATAAAAATCACTACAAATATGAATGATTATCTATCATTTAGAGGATGCATGTGTGCACACATACAGGACATCGTATCCCAGGTGAGAGCTTTGTATTGAATATAATGAGTCCTGCCATCTGTGTGTGTTTCCAGGCTGGAGCAGCCATGTTCTTACTAGTTCAACCTGCTGCATGTAATGTCACTGTTGTTTTTCCAACACGACCAGCTGTGTGCTTCCTTCCTGCCTCTGAGCCACACACACACACACACACACACACTCTTCATGATCGACAGCTCTCTTTGATGAGTCATACTCTGCTCCAATCTGTCTGTCAGTCAGTTTTTTTTTTCTCTTACATTATTATTTTTCTTAAATCAGACGGGCTCGTATCTCAATTTGTTTGGTGCTGTGTTGTTTTACTTCTCAGCAAAGCGTGCCAAAGAATGCATCATGTACGTATGACAAAAGACTTTTTACTGGAATGCCCGTGCACACGTCCAAGTTCGCGCGGTGCTGCAGGAGATGTTTTGGACAACAGGATGTGCTGTGGCGATTGAACAGGTTTTAAGTCATGCTTTTCGAATTGCCCTGCAGCGCAACTGATTGCTGCACCATTCTGGTGTGTGTGTGTGTGTGTGTGTGTGTGTGTGTGTGTGTGTGTGTGTGTGTGTGTGTGTGTGTGTGTGTGTGTGTGTGTGTGTGTGTGTGTGTGTGTGTGTGTGTGTGTGTGTGTGTGTGTGTGTGTGTGTGTGTGTGTGTGTGTGTGTGTGTGTGTGTGTGTGTGTGTGTGTGTGTGTGTGTGTGTGTGTGTGTGTGTGTGTGTGTGTGTGTGTGTGTGTGTGTGTGTGTGTGCGCGTGCGCGCCTGTCTGGCAGACATCCACAACCATAAAGTCAAAAACACAGAAGCACAGACCTGAGTGTGCTAGACGGTTTAAGTGTCAGTCACTGGCTTGTGGTCGATGTTCACTGAGTGTTTGTTTTTTTACGCTCGTCTGCAGTATTTACGCTTTAGTCACACAGCGAAGGAATTAAACCTGATGAACCTGAAGGTTTAAACTTACCGCTTTGTTAAGTTAAACAATTAGCTTCTTTGTCAAGTGTAATGTTGTCTGAGGTCATACAGGATCTTCTGTTCTCTGGTTAGCTTCAAACACTGTATTGTTTAATGCAGACTCAGGGTGCATGGAGTTGATCATAAGCTCATGTTTTTGATTTACCAGGCCGTGTTGGAGAGCATCATCAGGTACAGGATGACAGCCTGGTACGTTTAAAATCTAAGCTTGTTCGTCTTGTCTGATGCAGACTCCCTCAGAGGGAGGGCCGAAACGTCTCCCTCCAAAAACCAGGAGAGAGAGAAGAGGGGAATGGAGCCACAGGTCGGACTTGAACTCTGGCCAGGACTATAGCCGCCATACATAGGGAGCTATCTAACCGCTAGGCCCCTATGTATGAGCTCTTACCATCTTGCAGACGATACAGAATCCCCAAATGCAAACTGACCTGTTTTAAAAAACCTGTTTGTGCCCACCTGAACAATGTTTCTTAAGGCTGTTTGGGTCATGCAATAGCCTTCTGGTGTTCTCATCTTTTATCTTCTAGTCTTTTTAAGCAGATCTTGTGCAGTATGGTTGATGTGCTGCAGACATGTTTACATGTGTGTTGTTTGTTTTCACTGTGGAGGCAGCTAATGCGTCTCATGTTTTAAGATGTGACAAAGTCTCTTTAATCGTCTCTTCTTTCAGGGCCGTCCTGAACTGACCCCCACGGCCATTAAAGCAGGAAAGCTTCTCGCCCGGAGACTGGCCGGTCACAGCGCTGAGCTCATGAACTACGACAATGTGAGACACGCACATACACACACACACACACACGTCTTTGAGCCTGATATTTTATTCTAAATATAAATTTTCTAAATATTTTGGAGTTTTATGGTCGGAGTCTCTGATACATCTTCACCATTTCCTGTTCCTCCGGCTTCTACTCCAGATGACTCATGGCATCAAGTTTCCCCTGTATATCTAGATTAGATATTAGATTGTTTTTCTCAGGTTTTAACAGAAGAAGGTGTGACTTGTTCCACATAAATATATCATATCAAGTCTGTCCTGTGTAAATGTGTCTCTGAGTCATGACTGTCTACAATGAGTGAGAAGCTCGAGTCCCACTGGCTGTGTTGTTGTCAGAGCCGTGTTTACATGGACGGGACGGCCGGCTCCTCCCCTTGTGTATAAAAGCTGTTTTAGTCAAGAACTAGAGAGAAGAAGAAGAACATACTCACCGATTATTTGAACGTCACGTAAGTGTGTTTATTGCGTTTTATTGATTAACCTCTGGGTGTAATGTGTGTGTGTGTCTCAGGTTGCCACCACAGTGTTCACCCCCCTGGAGTACGGCTGTGTGGGTCTCTCTGAGGAGGAGGCAGAGATGAGGCATGGAAAAGACGGCATAGAGGTAAGACAGTAGTGTGGTGGGATTTCATGTGGAGCATTAAACAGCTCTGGTAGTTTATAAATGCTCCTCAGGTCGGGTACTATCACTTCTATCTGAACCACTTCTCTTGACCGCTTCCATCGCTGCAACACCTGTTGACCTGATAACTGCTCTCATATCTGACAAACCAAGGGGCGTCCAAAACGGCCGCGTGGGGGGGCCTTAAAACCACCTACCTTCTCTGGTCCAAACAAATCCAGAGCATTCAGGAGCAGAATCTAAAGTTAGAAGGAGGACATACTGGCTGCTGCATTGTTGTCAGAGAAGCCAGCACTTCAACATAGTATGTTTCATTAATGTCTGCGAGCTAAACAAAGAAAGTTACCCAGACAGTGTTAGTGTCTTCACTGCTATCGACCATTATAAAGAGATACACTGTCCCATAACCCCTCAACAAACATTGACACACACGCTCTGTATTTAACCTGCTTTCATACATGAGCAGTGTGCCAGATGCTCGCCAACACCTGCACCAGGCCTTTGGATAAATGGTTAAGCAGACAAGGTGGGGCCTTCTCGGCGTGAGTGACAGGCGAGCAGGAGGCCTGATTGAGGCGTGTATGGGGTGATGACAGGCGAGCGGAGATCTGAGGACTAGCAGACGAGCAGCGCCCTCCGACAGCTGCATGGCCCCCAACAACTTGTGTCGGCACGTTGGCCCTTCGCTGAATAAAACCCAGTGCACACACACTCTCTCTCTCTGAGGAGGTTGAAAATCAATCACTATCATGAACAAGCATACCTCCTTTTTACACGTCCTGTTTGAATGAGTGCTTTAAAAGCAGTTTTAGTTGTTGCAATAGCATCATCGGTATCAACCTTGTGAGGTCACATTGAGACGCTAGATTTCATGTTGCACTTTTGTAAAATTAATGTGCACCTTTAACATCAATGGCGTTTTTATTGGCTTGTAATGTGTTTTGTTTTTATCTGCCACACTGCCTTTATTCTGCAGAGCCGTCCTTATGTTCTTTTAGTTCTTTTAGTAGTAAATTGTCGGCTGATTTGAACTCATCAAATGTGCACAAGACGAGATCGTGGTCCTGCATGTTAGTCAGTTCTGACGTCTCTGTGAAGTATCCTGATCAGATTAGAAAAACTCATGTCTCCTGTTCATATGATCTGTCGTGTGTTTTTACTTCCTGTGCAGGTCTACCATGCGTTCTACAAGCCTCTGGAGTTCACTGTAGCTGAGCGCGATGCCAGCCAGTGTTACTTAAAGGTTTGTTGATGTGAGATTAAACATTTGTGTATGCAGACAGGAGGGAGTGGATCCTGCAGCAGGCTGCTGCTTAAAGGACTCAAACACAAATATGTACCCATCCTGTATATAATCCGGACCCCTGCTCATGGTTCAGTTTTCATCCTCCTACAGGTGGTGTGTGAGCGGGCTGGAGACCAGAAAATCCTCGGCCTGCATTTCACCGGACCTAACGCTGGAGAAGTCACTCAGGGATTTGCTCTGGCCTTCCAGTAAGTTGAATGAATCCTCAAAGATTGAAGTAGATTGTTTTTTGTTTTTTTTATGTACCACGGGACAATGTGGATTCTTTGCTTGGGCATGTTTCTAATAAGCTCCACGAGCAGAAACATGCTCAAACTAGGATCAATATTGGAGATGCTTTTGAAAAATGGAGAGAGGTTAGAACACAGAAAGGTTTACAGACCCATGCAGAGCTGGATAAACACTGAAGCTTCAGTGTCCACCACATGGTGACCTGTGTGAGCATCGACTCTAGAGAGGAGGGGGGAGACAGCTGTCTACAATGTTTAGAATTTAGACTGCATTACCCATTTTAACCACTAGGGGTCAGAGTTACATATTGCTCCTTTAAAGCATTTTACTCACTAATATGTAGTACTGCAATTATTCAAATTCTATGTAAAGTAAAAACAAAAGTACCCACACCTGACTCGACTTATTAAAGGATATTAATCCCCTGCTGTCCATCATGAGAGATTATGTTTAAATGCATCCTGAATGACGGTTCTTTGTATTTTTGATCAGGTGCGGAGCTACATATTCCCACCTGTTGCAGACTGTAGGCATCCACCCAACCTGTGCTGAGGAGCTCACCAAGGTCCACATCACCAAGCGCTCCGGTTTGGATGCCATGGTAACCGGCTGCTGAGGTTAAGCACCTCGGCCTCTGAACAGGAAGTGAGCACACACGGGGTCCCTCTGTGTCGGTAGAGAGATATAAGCGTTGGGTTTGATCTGCTCTTTCTTTTTGCCCCCTCTCCATCTAATTTGCCCCAAAATGGCCGCCAGTTTCAGACTTGTGTAACCGGGTTTCTTCCCTGGCTGCCCAGGTTGTCATTTGATAACCAGCAACGACTATGATTGTAGCATATACAAGCCTGTTGTGAGTGTATGCACTAGCAGCCCGGGATATAGATCAGGTCGGTGAGAACGCTGGGCGCAGAGCGAGCGTCTCTAAAATAAACAGGCTCATCAATCAGGATTAAAGTCCGCGCTCGGGGTTTTGTTGGACTCGCTACGAGAACCGTGGTCAGAGCCTGAGCAGTTTTCTGAATATATATTCTACAAATATTGTTGTTTCTCCGGCTGTACTTCCTGTCCATTAGTCTTGGAGGTGACACATACCATACACCCCCCCCCCATGACACTGATGGATAGCCCCAGGGCCCACTGCCGCAGTGACACCTCCCCATTTCCCATGGACACACACAAACAGTGTGTTGGCTTGCCTGTCAGTCAGACAGCCAGGACCTGTCCATGGGAGCCGCGGCTTGTCGAGGGCCCTGCAGACCCCTGTCCTCCTCCTCCTCCCATGCCCCTTCTTCAAGACAGTGGGGTCACAAACGTGCTTTTTAAAAAAGCTGTGTGGGTGCCACAGCACAGAACAGAACAGGACGACCTAACCCATCCATTGTAAGAGCTCTGCTTGAGCTGCACTACCCAGCCTCACCCAAAGGTGGCACTGTTGCCCTCCTATTCTCCCCTGTGTCTCACTGAGCCAGAAGTGGGAGATGGGATAAGGTAGTGAGTGGATAAAAACGTGCGCCTGAATACGTTCAGGTTGCACATTTAATCCCTTTAATCCCTATAAAAGATATGCACTTTTGGATGAAGTTTGCAAAGCAGACTGGCTTTAAGGGTGCCAGACTGATAAGGGTTATCTGTTGTGTATTTACATGGGTGGCAGGTTTGGCCTACAAGTCATCACCCTGGAAGATAAGGCAGGTTGTTTATATCAATAAAACAGTAATAGACCCCCGCAGTTTGCCAGAGTGCTCAACCTGCTGGCTGCGCTGGACATCTTGGGTTTATTAACAAGAGGAGGAGGAGGAGGAGGAGGAGGGCTGTCAATGAAGAGGGTTTGCTACAGAAACCTGGGGAACCATGAGGAGGCTGCTGGGCGTCGTTTATTTTCATGTGAAGTCTAATCTGCTGCGGCTGATTAATGGTTTCGATGAGGGGAATGACAGTGTGCCAGGAGATGGAGAGAGGAAAAGGAGAAAGAGAGAGGGGTACCAGGTTTATTTGGACCCAAGCCAGGAGGAGAGAGCGAGAGAGAGGGAGCCGAGTTTCAGGCCAGCTTTAGGGAGGGGAAGGGGGGGTGGGGGGGGATTCCTGTGTGCTCTGTTCAGGGCCGAGGTGCTGACTGAAGGACCCTGACCTCCGCTCAGCAGGAACAGCTTGACTCTATCACACTCGGAGCACAGAGGGCTCACATGCTGCAGCGCTGCACGGCAGGGGCCTGGAGAGGAGGGGGGGGGTAAGGTAGGACGGGCAAGAGACGGACAGAATCAACCAGCCAACACAACATGGAGCGGTAGCATTGTGTGTATGTTCCTGTGCTTAACGATCCACTTCAGAGACCTCAGGGTGGGCTCCGAGGCACCGAGAGGGAAGTTATCGAGGCCATCAGAGTAACTGTAATGTCTGTTTTGCTTTTTACCCTCTACTTCCCTTCTCTGTTTCCTCGTCTGCTCCGTTATCTTTTTTTTTTCACACAGTATGGCCTCTCGCGCACAAAATTTAAAATATTTTTATTACTGATGTGTCTTATTTTGAAAAACGTCTACTCATCGAGTCTCTCCAGGCCCCCGAGTCCTGCCGCGTCAGCCGCCCCTCAGCAGTGCCCAAGGGGGGTCAGGGTTCATCTTTCAGGTCGGCCAGCTAATGATGACCTGCACTAAAACCCAAAACGTGGGGAGTGCAGGCCTGATGTCACCTGGCTGCCAACTTTAGAACTTGTAAATAGAGACGTTTAATTTTCCGTTTAAGCTTCTTTATGCATAATTTATATGTAAAGTAAGAACATACAATGTGACCATTAAAGTAATGATGCTCACCGACTGAGTCTCCTGTCTTCTTCATAAATGACAGAGTTCCCATGGTGCCTTCAATGACTTTATTAAAATGTAGGACCATATAATGTCTCAATAAGAGAACGCTCTTTGACTGATACATTAATACAATGACATGTCTATTTTTTTTGTTTTTTTTATCATGTCAATGCACTCCATTTTCAGCAGCATATTTACATGCGCTTTAAAAAACTGGCAGCAGCATAGAGAAGGCGATGAGGATGAGAAACAACAATCTACGAGGCAAATTGCAAAAAAAGCAAGGAGCTTTGAAATTTGGGACGATAAGAATCAAAGCCGTCGAGTCCCACATGAAATCCAGAAATCACTGACACTGCACTGAAGTGCCAAAATGATATTTTAAAAACTAATGTGCTACCCTGGAGGATTGCAGAGAAGCAAAGATCTATCCTGTTCATGTGTTGAAAAGAGAGATCAAGATTGATACCTCTGATTTCCTGACAAATAAATAAAGGTTTTTGCTAAAACTACCAACAGCTCGCATTGATGTGTGCAGAGGTAACACTGAGACTGGTTCCCAAAGTGGGGTGAAACACTGAGAGGGGGGGAAGCCTTCCAAAATAAAATAAAAAGATTTGAAGCTGCATATTTTCCCCATTATTGTGAAATGATAAGTTCTTCAATATAAAATAAAACCATAGTCCTTAAGTGAGAGTTTTGCTGAAATAAAAAAAATGTGAGTAAAGGACAGAGACACAAAGTTTGAATTAAAAGAGAAAAAAACATCTCTGAGGCAAATCTGGGAGTCAGTAGCTGAAGCAGTCGAGCTACAAACATCAACATCCTGTACAATCTGCTTCTAGGTCTTTCACTCTGCGACCGATTTATGAGGCTGATGGTTCAGAACACCCAAAAGCTGAAGAGGTTCAGAGAAAGATATCAAGCAACTTCTCTGAAAAATACCCTGTCAAATATTGAATAAATAAGAGGGGAAAGTTTTCACCTCTGTCAGCTGTCAGTCGGAGATAAATCGTAAAGGACAGTCTGTGGATTCCAATCTGCACATTGCACTTGACACCCAGACACTTATTTTGTATATTCAAATATTTATTTTTATATTTCTATATCACTGTATTTACATTTATTAGTAATTTGAGTGATTATTGCATGGCCTTGCGGAACAGTCGTTACATTTCACTGCACATCTGTATGAGCATGTGACAAATACAAATATTGAATTTTGTGTGTCCCTCAGTGTGCTCGTGTCAAAGACAAAAACTAAGCAAACCTTCTTAGTTTAGTTTCAGTGAATGAAACTGTTTTTGATCTTTTAGTTTTCATTATTTCATTCGTTTTCTGTAACCATAACGACCTCGCTCTGTTCCAGTGTGTCTTCTTATACGCTCCATGGATTTGTATTAATATGGAGCAGTGTCTCAAGAGGTGGTCACACTTAGACCTGGACTCGTTTCTGCTGACAGGCAGCTCTGCTATGCGGCGCTGTCACTCAACCCTGTAGCACCAACAATGGCAGAAATTCCAGGTTGTTTGTTTGGTTAAGGACGGAGCTCTCTGAACCTCCTCAGGATCTACAGCAGCCTCACTCACCCTGAGAAAAGAAGGCCAGTGTCAGTCCTTATAACCCAGACAGAGGGAGAAAAGTTCATCCACCGTCCGCCCCCCATTTAGCAATTGTGTCTCTCCTGTCCCTCCACAATGGAGCAAACAGGCTAAATCCACCTTGAAATGCACTTAGTAGAACATGTCAACATGTCAGGGAGCGCTCGGTCTCCTCGCCCCGTCTTAATCCAGCACCATTGATCGCTGACAAGTTGTCTGTGAGTCAGACATTCACGGGGCCTTTTGTCATTTTAGGTCTTGAGCCCCTGCAGCCTCGCCTGGAAGAGCAGAGCCCTCAGACACACGTTCAAACACACACATGCTGGGTATACAACCTCACAGCCAGGAGGAGGAGAAACCGATACAAAACCTTGTGTAAACATTCGCAAAAAAAAAATGATGCAAGGAACAGAAAAGGGCTCAGCCTATAGGTGAGGATTATCCCTGAGAAATGAATAGGGGGCCAATTATGAGCGCTGTGTTGTACTGGCTCAGGAGCTGTCAGCCTGAGATGCCTGCATGCCTCGAACGGGGCGCGGTGGCTTGGGGAGGGGGAGGGGGGCCCTCAGACTCATAACTAAAGTGAGTCCTCTCACACTGGATTTGTTGGTTTCTCTGGCCTCCGAAGTTCAAGACAATTAGCTCATAGAACACGCTGAAGCTAATGGTGGGCTCAACAAAAACCAGCATGTGAACACGGGGTGATTAGAGTGAGTCAAAGGCTTCTCCTGTCTCAGATTCACACTGTTCCTCTGCGGGGGCTCCAGCTCTCCAAAGACACCATTTTTAATCTTGAACACTCCCCATCAGGAATGTCAAGGCTGTCGGGTTTGTTTCAAATGTATCTGAACACTACATAGATGAGTTTGCCACAAACTGCAGCTTCGAGGAAATTTCCCTCCACACACACAAAAAATAAAAAAGTCACCTCCCTTGACTTTTCCTTCAACCACAAGCACTGAAACAGAGTCGGCGAGGTCGTCTTCTGACAGAGTGGGGTCCTGTTGGTAGCCCAGTAGAGGTGAGGGTCTGTGAAATGAGCTTATCTGACCCCCCTGATAAGAACAGGATACCCTCAGGAAGGCTCTAAATTCAATACACATGGCTTCTACAGCGACCTTATCTCAGGAGATGCCGGTGTTTAAAAAAAAAAGAAAAAAGAAAAAAAGGAGCTAGTTTTGGGTTTTGATCCGCTGACTTCTCAGAGATCGAGCAGACCAGAGGACTCTTAAATCATTTAGTCAGGTCTTTTGCCACACAGGAAGCCGCCTTATTAGCTCTGGAAAGTGCTCAGAGATTTATTGAGCTGATATACTGGAAGATGTCTCACAACAGAGGGATTCTGTTTGAGTGTGCCAAAACATGCCGTTTGGAGGAATAGCCCCAAACACGCTAATGTTTGTGTTAGAACACTTTGACTTTGGCACTCGTTGGTATTCTGACTTTGTTTTTGCACTTCTTTATCATTGTTTTTGTGATCACTTTTATGATTAATATCAGATGATGTTAGGTTTATTGTTCAATAATACAGATCAGCGCTGCAGGGCTCTGTAGTTATTATATGATTAACAAAGTAAAAGAATGACTCACTTTTCATTTAAACCAGCATTATTTTTCATCTGCAGAGGACTGATTTTGAGGTCTGGTTTCTTCAAGTGCCAGGGGAGATGAGAGGAAAAAGCTTTGTGGGGCCAAGTCACATGAGGAGGGCCAATAAAGGTAAAAATAAAAAACATGGTCCATCCTAATTTAAAGCAACAATGACCAAATTTAATTTAACACCTAAATACTCACCATTACCTCTTAAAGCAACAAAATAAAATTTTTTATTTCTTCTTGTTTCAGTAAAATGTAGCCTGTTTCAAAATGTTATGAGTCTCTTCTTTTGGTAATGTTAGCGATGTCAGCGGGCTCAGTGAACTTAACTGCAATAACAGTTATGTCGTCATCAGTACAGCCGTTTCAGTACCTGCACGATATATGGAGCAAAATCTTTTCTTTGCCCCCCTCATTGCCATTTCTCTTTGCTTTTTCGTACACTTTCTGTGTTGTGATAATCCAAGGGAGAGAAACAATTCAATCTTTGTCTGCTGTCTTCTTCTCTCTTTTGATATGCACTGTCATAAGGGATTTTGTTGTTTTTTTCCGTATTGTAAATGACAATGTTAAACATCAATAAAAAATCTATCACAAAAAAAAGAAAAGAAAGAAGAAGAAAAGGAGGGAGCTGGCTGGAACATTTGACCCCAACAAGAACTTCTTAACAAACGTATTTTGGTCATCTCCAAAAGGCTGATGGGAGCTAATGTTAGCCAGGAGGCTAGCGCTAACACTGCTGATCGAATGTGCACACAATGATTTAAATCAAATCCTGGCAGCTCATTCACTCTCTCTCACTGCGGGCATGCTGCTGCTCACAGAAGTGGAGGGACAAGAAACTAAATCTTCATTTAATCATTGTTCCAATGTAAGTTAGTTAACGACTCCGCAGACTGTAGTTAATGCTGTCTCAGGTAAACAGCTGCGACCTGCATTGAGTGATATGGCAAAGGTCCTTGAAATGTGTTTTATGTGGGAGTTGTGGGACATATCCTGATCAAATAAAACTCCCACATTGTGGCGTATTTTCCAGTAATTTAAAGTCAAAACATTTCTTATGAATCAGCTTTTTATGTCTGAGTTTAAAGACATGCACAACCCCACCGTGATCAAACTGCTAATGAAGGAGATCATTCACTTAACAAGCTCCTGCAGCGAACATAACAAATGACTTCATTACACTTCCTAAAGGTTTTCCCCGACACAAACAGAGAGCAGGGAGAGCATCAGTATAAACACCATCTTGACAGTTTTTCCTCTCTGACTTGTGTCTGCTCCGGGGGCTCTGGTGTTATCAGTCTGAGTCACATCACATAAATCACAGAACCTATCCACAGCCTCGATGGCTTCCCACTCTGCAGAAAAAAAACAACAACAAACATCTGGCTGCAATGTCAAGGCACTGCCTGAGCCTGAGCTGAGCATGTCGCTGGCACAAATTGCAATTCCTGCCGATGGCCCTGCACATAAACATGCATGTAGGATAAAAAAAAAAAGCAAAGTCGCAGGCCGAACTGCAGAGACGGACGTGCTATGCAACGGGGATGGAGAGCATGCTGGGCTCGCCCTCTGGCTGCTGTCGATGCCTCCCTGATTGATTCTGTCTTTCCTGTTTAGCTAATAAAAGCCCTGTGTGTAAGGATGAGTGGCTTGTTGTGAATGAACCAAACACACACACACACACACACACACACACACACACACACACACACACACATTCTGCATGCAGTGTGAATCGGCTAGCTTTGCTTCTGGAGCTCGCAGTTATGCTCTGCCTGTGTTTATTTGTTGGTCACAGAGCTGATGAG